TTATTTTAGGGGGGGGGGGGGGGTCTGTTTGGAGGTTTTGTTTGTTTGGGTGGTGGTTTTGTTTTTTTCCCCCCATATACTAGCATCTTCCTAAACAGAAGTGCTTTACGTTATTAATTAGCCTTAAACTCTTTCAGGAAGGTTGAAGGCCTGTATCAAATCTTTGAAAATGTACATGCTTGAGAAAAACGTTGAGCAGGGAAGAGAATACAATATGGGAAAGGATCTCTTAGGGTCTGTTTGTTACCTGCTGTAAATAAGCATGCTGTATGAGTTATCCTCCTAAAATATTCCAGCTCTGTTTTAAAACTATTTGCACTGTTTTCTTCCTGTCCATTCAGGAGAATGTCTTAGAATGTGATTATGTTCAGGAGTGAAGCTTTGTTCTGGCTTGTAGCCTGGGTTTATGATTGCTCTGGCCTTTTCTCTTGTGCTGAAGCTGTCCTTCAGGTTTAGTATCTCTTGCTCCTCTTGGTGATGTAGAGGCAGGAGTCATACCTTGTTTTTAACATTCTGTTCTACAGGCTAAGCAAGACAGGTTCCAGTGGTCTCCTTGGTGCTTACCCTAGTAGTCCTCTGCTTCCCCCTTTTTTAAAAGGAAGTAGGTCATGGTTGTGAGCTTTCCAAAGTATAGAATGATATAAATTCTTCCCTGTATTTATAGGGAAGTCCATGGAAGGCTGCATAAATCTCTTTTTGAGGCATGTTACATTTGTACAGCTAGCCATTGTTTGGTTGACACATCCACATCTCACTTTTTCCAAACAGTAAATCTTTTGAATTATAGCAAAGCTTCCTATCAGGCCTTAAAGGCTGAAATATATTTCATGCAGTTCCGGTTTTGCTCATCTTTAAACATCATCTAATTGCTTTTTTTTTCTATTCTTCTATACACGTCTTTATTTCACAGGCAAATTTTTTTACCTCCTGCTTTTTATGTGAAATTCATTACAGTTAAAAATAATAAGCATCAAGCTTTGTATTTTAAGAATAACATTGATAATCTTATGGCCAAGAATATTGTGTTCAGGATATTTTGTTTCTCCCTCAGTAATTTCTGTACCAAGCTTGCAGTGCTTGAACCATTTCATGCCTTCTTTGACTTAACTAATAGCCTGTCAGGTGTCATGATATCCAAGTCTGTTTTCCTGCTTCATTTTTCTTGTCTGGAAGATTACCCATTGTATTAAAAGTCTGGCAGCTTTTCTGAGCTCAAGAATTAATACATTTGGGTTTCTTATGGATTCTTACAGATTACGTCTTCTAGTGAGAATACTCTTTACTTTCTCATCCTCTTATCTCATTGCTTCTGCTGGTAGGAGGCAGAGCAGATCTGGTGCAACAGGTAGGCTGAATGGCCAAAATACAACAATGGAATTCTGCCTCCTTTTCCCACAGCAGGGACAGGGATTTAGCCCTGTGTTCTCCACCTGTACTTTGTCATGAGATCTGTAAGGGCTTGCTGCTCTCAGCTCTTTTTGAAAGTTAGTCTACCTGTTTTTTTTTTTTTTATAGAGGTTGTAATGTAACATGTGTAAGTAAAAGGAGACTCCTTGTGAATTTTGAAAAATAAAAACTGTGCTGAATAACATGTAAACTGAGAATATGATGTACTTCTGTATCAGACACAGCTCCGAAAACAGCTAATCCATGAACTGATGCACCCGATTTTAAGTGGAGAGCTTCAGCCACAGGCTGTTCCAAGCGATGACAGTTCACTTTTGATCACAGCTTCCAACAGTTTGGTGGCAGATCATCTACAGAGATGTGGCTATGAGTATTCACTTTCTGTTTTCTTTCCAGAAAGTGGGCTAGAGAAGAAGAAGGTAAGTGCAGTAATTTATCTGTTCTAAGACGTCTAGGAACTTTGCTCTCTGAGTTGTCATATTCCAACAGAACTGGAAAAAAAGTGTTTTGTGGTAGTGAAACACAAACACAAGTACAGCTTTTGGTCATGTCCATAAAAGATTTCATTATTCAAGGCCATTTTCATGAATACTTTAATCTGGCAATGAGATAATGATGCTGTTTTGGAAAGAGATAGCACATGCCTCTTAACCTTGCACAATAAATAGATTTTTATTGAATAGAAAACATTCTACAACTGTGAAATAGTGCCAATTACATATTTGAAATGATTTAAAATTAGTGAACCTTTTCTAACTGACGTTTTTTTCCCCCAAAGCTGTGGACTATGCAAGATCTTCTTCAGTTAATGAGGATCAATCCAAAATCCAGTCTTTACAAATCACTGGTAAAGTTAATTTGATTTTGAAAAGAAGCTTAAATTACGATTGTGATGAAATATACTGTCTAAAATATGTTTAATTTCTTACAGACTTCAGGAACGCGGAAGGAAAATAAAGGTACAAGATGTTTATATGTGATGCAGACAAGCATAGTTGTCAGCTTCATTTTTATTAAGATGGGAGCAATAGAAGTTAGTTTCTTGAGTGTTTGTTGGTATAGAATAGTATGGATTCAGTCAGATTTTGAAACTTGGAGTAATTAATATTGTATTTCAGGATTATTCAACTCCTATTTGTGGTGTGGATTAAGTTGTTGACATTCTCCTACAAATTTAACTTCTTGAGCATTAGAAATATGAAAAAAAAAATCTATAATCAGATATTAAATATAATTCTCTTTGGAAGTTTTTCACACTAGCTTTTGCAAACTTGGATTTTAGGTTGTGTTTATGATTGACTGTATTATCTTGCATAATGTACTTCAAAACTAGTTATAAATTTAATTGACTTTCCATTGGTTTATATAAGAAATAAGTCTTATGTCTGCATAATGAAACCTAGCTATATTATAGTTAAAGTAGCTTGATCTTCAGAAACCCCTGTTGCCTAATGACCTCATAATTAGAGCAGTAATAATCTGCTCTCCCAAATTACCTTGGAAGTCAAAGATACGTGGATGAAAGGAGAAGCTGCAAAAGGACAGCTTTTGCAGAATGAGATGGACTGGGTTAGGCTTATAATAAAATCTGTATAGTTAACTAGTACTTATTTTCATTTAAGTACTTGGTTCTTTCTGTAAGTCGAATAGGTTTTCTTGTACAATGAAAATGACTTCATTGATTACAGGCTCAAATTCAATTTTGGTATGAAATCAGAACTAACTAATCTATTTGATCTTGATAGGTTTTCTTATGCAGATTTTAATTGGACTTACAGAGCATCATCTAAGTAAGGCAACTCATGATATGGAAACTCAGACAACCTCGGTGCCTCCTTACAGAGGATCTCTGGGTAAGTGCAGCCTCTGCAAGCAAATCTCCCCAGATATTTTCATATTGGTAAATGGTATGGATGAATAAATTGTATGAATGGTATTCACTCATCACTTACTAAAGTGCAGCTAAAGTAATAATGAGGAAGGGTCATACCTGTGACTAGTACGTTGGTTTTCTAACCTTTCTTAAAATAAGGGAAAAGTCTTGTTATGTTTTGTGTTGATTGCTTTGTTGTTTTGGGTTTTTTTTATCACTCAGATGTTTTCTTAGACATTTAGCTAAGAGCTGTAACATCTTAGATGGACTTAAATGTTATGTGCTAACATACGTTCTGGAAAAGACACTTGTAAATGCGTGCCTGGCTTCTCCTTCCATGGCAGTGTTTGAGGGAAAGCTGGGTATAGACTGGGGGTTCTTGAATTCTACTATGCATGCTATTAGTAATACAAAACCCCCAAAAGTTGTGTGCAAAAGAAACTTCTTGTCCATCCATGATGGAGAGGATGAATGACTATTTTAATACCCCCAATAGTGCCTAAACAGCTGAGTGCCACCTCCTACGTGTATGTTGTGTGCCATAAAGCTGATAATGGCATTTCTGTGTCACCTCTGCTTTTTGTACCACACAGGTCTTTCTGTGACAGTGCTACTTAGGGTAAACTAAGGAATTTCCTACAGAGAGACAGGTTCCTGCAGTCTTTGGTAAGGTAACTGTGGTAGCTGTTTTTAAATGACGATGAATGTGTTGCTCTTTTTATAGCTGAGAAGCTTCAGCTGATTGATGAACAGTTTGCAGATTCTTATCCCCAGCATCAGAGATATGAATCTTTAGAAGTAAAACTTCATGAATATAGAAAAGAAGTAGAGAAGCAGCTTCAAGCAGAAATGTGTCAAAAGGTATAATTCTGGTTGTTGAACTTGAGGAAGATATTTGTTAATTTGACCGGTGCACATTACGAACTTTTAATACTTAAGGTAAATTGAAATAAAAGATCTATTAGTGAGTCACAGCAAACACAGAAGTCTAAGTTAATCCAATTTCAATTGTTAATTTGATGACATAGCATGTAGGCATTTTCTGTTCCCTTTTTTTGTTAAATGTGCACAGAATGTTAAGCTTTTTATTCTGCTGTTAATTTGTAGCACAGGTTTTTGCATTTTGATTGTCTTAATTTAGTAAATTTTATTTGCTTCATGATTACTTTGTTTTATGGAGAAATGCTTATTCTGCTTAATCATACTATTCCTTTTCCTTCTCAGTTAAGATTTTGAAGCTTGAATTTCAATATAATGCATAGCAACTAAGAAAAGAGAATTGCTGCTGTGTAGCTTGACAGATAGTCAATTTTTAATACTGATGAGAATTTGCATATTATTTCAAAACCTCCCACGGAAACACTAAAATCATAACAGACAATACTATGAATTATTTCTGGGTTTTTTTCTTCCAATAATTGAAGTCAGTTCTTCTAGAGAATTTTCCATCATTTTTGAAATATAATTACATTTTTTTTCTAACATAATCCACTGGTACTCCCTTTGTCTGAAAAATGGTGCAGAGAGAATATACCGTGGTTAATTCAAATATATATTCCCCCGCCCATCAACTTCTGGCAAGATCAACAGGTTTTTTGGATAGAAAAAATTGAATTAACTGTAGTTCACTTCAATATGTTCTTTTTTCAATTAATTTCTGTCATGGGCAGTAGTTTATTTGGATATAAAAATGATGATCTGATACTGAAAATTCTTAAACATACTTTAAAGGCACTCATCTGCCTATAAACTGTTTGAGGAAATCAGTGCAGTCGTATTTATTCACCTAGACAAGCAGAAGGATGGAGAGTTAACACTGCCAATATGCTTTACCTTCATTTTTCATTTAGTCTTTATTCCTCAACAGGCACTGTCTTTTTAGTATGTAAAACATATTAATTCATGTGTTATTAAGTTTGTCTCAGTTTAAGCAAATCAGTTGCAACAAAGGAGACTGAGATCTTAACCAGATATAAATCACTTCCAAATTCCATTAACTTTACATGGATTCCTTAGCAGTGTGACAAGAATTACTATAAGACGTTTCTAACACAATTTGCGTGTGTACAAGTGATCCTGTACTGCCTCACCATTTCTTTAATTTTTCACAAAATATGTGCACACAGACCTGAATTCCTTGATGAGATGTACCTACTATGCTTTTTCTTCCCTTTAACCTAATTTTTTCCAGTCTCACAATTTTTCTATCATTCTCTTTTTATTCTTTTGATCAGTTTTTTTCTTCACATTTTTTGTCTTATATGCATGCTTTCCATTTTCTTCCAAATTTTTATTTTAATTCTTTGTAACCCCATTTGTTCCTGCATGTGTGGCACATCACATGTTGTGCGGAGGCATGTTCCCTACAATTCTTCTGTGCAGTTGGAAGATACATGCTTTCCTGTTTGTGTGCATTTACTACTTTTTCAGTTGTGCTGAGAAGTCTATGAGTCAGGATTTCTGTTTCTGTAACCCACTTTATGTGGAGTTACATGTTCTGCGTTTTTTCACGTGTTCAACACTTTTTGTGTGTATGTGTGCAGAGGAATTTCTCTTGTTCCTGGGGGATTCAGGATGTGTCTGCCTCTGTCACTTCACACATCACCAGTCAAAACTGGTTCTTTGGGAAAGGGGTGAAAACAGAGACACTGTCAGAGGAAGAATTAAAGAGTGTGGCCATTCCTTAATTGCAAATGGAGTATCGCTCCTGCAGTGTGTTTTTGTTCATAGGCCTCTGTTTTGCTCTTGTCTAAAGCTATTAGTTTTGTGTAAGATCTGCTCTGTGATGCCAGATAAATGCATGAAAAGCGTGTGAGACATGGAAATAGTATGTGCTCCTACTGATACTTTTATCACAGTAATTTATTTTCATTCAATTATCATTTCCTAACAAGAATTTCTTTGTGAAATTTAGCATTGTCTGAAGAGAAATTCTTTGTCAGTTTGAAGATGGCCCTACTTAACCCTCTCTTCCTCCTTTATGTAAAAGCTAGAACATTTTAAAGAAGTTGAAATAGCCAAGATTAAAATGGAGGAGAAAGTGCAGACCCAGAAGGAAATCTCTGAGCTGCGTCATGAGTTGGAGAAGGCACATCAAGCAAAATCTGAAGCCTTGATTTCTCGTGAAAAGAATGCTATTGAAAGGCTTCAGAAGCAACAAGAGGTAAAGTTCCAAATGTTTTTTCTTAATCTAGTACAAAATAATTAATGAGTCGATTAAACTTTTTTTTTTTTAATCTTTGGGAGATTTACCTTCAGATCTTACTTGGCTTATTAGAGAAAACCGTGAATTTACTTTTGTTCCTCTAAATAGGGAAGCACATTTAGCAGCTACAAGAATAAGTATGGGTAAATAGATTTAAGTAGAGGTGGCTGGAAAAGGAACAGTTCTACAAGCTGGGATTGAAGGATTTAAATGTAATAAACACTTTTAAATCTGTTTTAATAACTTTGGTGAATTAAAATCACTGAGTTTTTTTCAACAGAAAGTTGAACATAGCTTTTAGTTATGCTATAAGTTCTTTCAGTTGCTAAGAAGGACTCTAAAGTAAATGGAATATGTACTCTGTATGGTACAGATATGGCATTTCTGTATGTCATTATATGCTGAATATTATTAATAGCCACTGTCTTTAGTGTAAGCTAGCATCTCATTTTGTTTCTTTGAATACTTTTTTTGTTGATGGGTTACTGCTTTGGGCTGTTAACTCTTGCCGTTTGTCAGAGTAGTAACTGTTACTGCAACACACAATTTTGATATAATTCTAAATTTCTTCTCCCAGTCTCTATTACCTTTCACTTTTTTGGAAGAATAACTTTCTTGTTTGCCTAGTCACCCCTTCCTGTCCAGATAATATTCATCCACAAATGCTAACCACATTTTTGCTTTGTTGTGTTGGTGGGTTTTTTTTTGTTCTGTTTGTTCTCCCCCCTGCCTTGAGATCATGTGGTATTATTTAACAACAGAATCAAAGGTCTCTGTATGGATTATTATATACCAGTCTCTGCTATTGACCTTCTTCCAGTCTGAAAATTAACCATTTTATCACTATGCTATAAATTTCGTTATGTCCTTAGAAGCTTATGGGAAAACCATCTATTTTATGCTACCAATATTCTTCTGTCGGCATAAAATTAATTTGGTAATTAAAAAAAAAAGTTTACTAGATCAGCGTATCTGTCAAGGGTTTTGTGTGAGTATTTGGTTGCACGTGTCAGCTTCTGTGCACACTGAAAAGTATATGTTTCATTTACCTGGGGAGTCTTTTAACAGAGACCAGGAGCTCTACAGGGTTGAGGTATATTTACAGTAAAGGCAGAAGGTCATTTAACCCTTTACTAAGATAACTTTGTGCCCAGAAGATCTAGCTTGACAAACTGCTGTATTTTTTGCTCCAGGTCCAGAGCTAAGTCATTCAGCACTGTTGAGTGCATGTGAATTGCAAACTTGATATGAGCACCCATATAGCAAAATCATAATTTTCTTCTTCTTGGGCAATTATTATTTGGAGAAAAATAGTACCTTATGTGCTTAAGGACAAGAAAAGCTATTTTTTTATTAATAAGAATGTACATGACTTTTGGTATTAGCATGTTAATCACTTGGAGAATGCCTTTTACAATTCGTTTGATTTCTCTAAGTTGAACTGCAAGAACTGAAAGACTGCTAGCTGACTCAGTTTCAGTTTTAAATCATGTTTTATTGAGGGCTTTGGGATTTATTTTTCTAATTTTGTTTTTATGAAGAAACTTCAAAGTGCTTGTTTATTTAAAAAAAAAGAAGAGACGTTTGAACATGTTTGTTCTGTAATTTTTTAAAACAATTTTTCCTTTTACATAAATTGTAATCAGTGCTATTTCTAAAAAAAGAAAAGTGTTTACAGGTAGCCAGTAGTGACTGTCTACAGGATTTTTACTCGGATTAAAAGGAGGAAGGGAATTAAAAAAAAAAAAAAGACAGTAAATTCTAGATGTTATTTCAAGTTATGACTACATAAATAATATTCACTGGAGTAAGAAAAATTCCTGAAGATCCTTGAAAGTTTGAGCATGTTACCTGTATACAGTGTGAAGTAAAACTAGAGATAATATTTTGTGATTCAGATAGAAGCAAAGGAAGTGTACGCTCAGAGACAAAGTCTACTGAAAGATATTGAAGCCATAAGGACCAGAGAGGCAGAACTGAAGCAAAGAATTGAGGCATTTGAAGTGTAAGTCACTCAAGGGCATACACAATATGTTCTTATTGTCCGTCTTCTGGAAAGCATGCTTCAAGATGTGGCTGACTTCTGTGACACTGACGTAGATTATATATCCCAGAAGCTGTGTTGTGCATTTTGAGCAGTATTGTGTACTAGCTCTGTTAGCAGAGCTACCTCATACAAAAAGATGTTTGGCGTTTTTTTTCTGCTCTTTCTCATCCAACCAAAAGAGCGCAGCGTCGTTTGGGAGGCAAGGAGCCACATGTTTGCTTTGAAGTGTTTTAATTCAAAAAAAATAAAACAAAAAAGCAGTCCCTAAACAACACAGTAGGTACTGCCAACAGTCATAAGGCATGTATATGACATTTTGCTTCTTTAGTCTTGGTTGTTCTTTTTTAGTTGTTCTTAGTATGATCGATTTTGTTTGGTTAAATAAAAAAAATAAATAGTTTTGGGCCGGGTTTTCAGTACCACTTAATGTCCTTAGTTTGCCAGCTGGTTTTTTGTAGCAAAATTAGTAGCATCCCACTAACAAAAACTTAAAAACTTGGAGTTTTTTAATAAGCCAGCAGAGGGTGCTGATAGAATGGGATGCTTGGCACAATTGCCTCTGAAGCCTTTCTGGTGTGGGAAACTGAGCTAGAATTAACCCGGGACAGCTCCATAATTCATTGGCACTGAATTTTAAATTGGGCAATTTAGTGTGTGTCACGTCTCCTTGTTCTTAATGAATTACAATGACAGACTTTGACGATAATTTTAAATTGCTGTGGTGTGCCAAGCAAACACATTACCCTTTGGTATCCCTAAATGCTATTTACAAAAAAAAAAAAAAAAAAAACAACACCAAAAGCTTAAGTTTTGGCTTCATAACTGTCTGTATATTTATGGATATTTCAGCACCCAGAAACTTCAGGAAGAGAAAAATAAAGCTATTGATGATGCACTTCGACGTCGGGAGGTTGCTGTGAAAAACATAGAGGATACCTATGACCAAAAGCTTAGGACGGAACTCTTAAAGTAAATGCCTCTTTTGTCTCTAATTGGTTTCATGCTACTGCCTATGAAAACAGAATAACAAACTGTAGGATTTTGTTTGAAAAGTGTAACAAAGCAGGGACTTTGAAAATGTACACTCATGGGTTTTCTTTTACTGAGCTCGAATTCTTTACATTATTGCTCGTCTTACTAGCAAAGAGCTAAAATGTTCTGTCAGGTTCAGAAAAAGCTTGCTATAGAAAATATTTGTCTTTGGATTAAAAGTTATGTTATTGTTGTAGTTTAAATTCTGCGTTGATATCTGAGAAAGAGATGTGATGTTAATTGTATGCTTAGACAAAAGGATATGATGCAGTATTAGTGACTTCCTTTGACCAGAATTTAAAGAACTGACCATTTTAAGAATGCAGAAAAGACAAGGAGGGGAAATTTGCATTAAAGAGTTGTTACGTTACAGGTTTCTAGCAAAAAGAATGAGAGGCACACAAGCCCATTGTACAGATAGATTGGCTTAACCCCTCCTCATTTTTATAGAGGGACTCACTGATACAGATTACCCTCTTTCTTATATTGACTACCGTCTGCTTGGATGTGGTTTCAAAGGATTTGCTTAGAAAAGCTATTTGAAAGTGTAAGACATCATCCGTGACTGCTTTTGAGGTGTTGCAGTGGGTGTTTCCTAACTTTGCTATTGTACTTTCTTGGAGTGCCTTGGTGGATGGAAGGGTTACTTGGTGCTTCAGTGCAGGCACATGCTCTCAGCGTGTGGTTACTCGTGTATTCCATGGCATGAACCCATCTTCCAGTCAGGCAGTTAAACCAGGTGACTGATGTAGGATTGCCCTTTATTGCAAGCCAGCGAGCGATGATTATTATCTGTGTTAATGTGTCTTTATTTAAATTACAGAGAAAAGATGTAAAGAGTAGGTTTTGATAAGAGTGGTGCTTCAACTGAAACTGAGTAGATTTGAGGATTTTGTCAGAGAACAGTAAGATGCATAAATAACCCACCTTGGTATCTTATTTTACCTAGTCTGTAACAGCTTGTTACAAATAATGCCTGTAAAGTGCTTTTGGTTCATAAGGAGAAGCAAATTATTTTAAGGATGAACCACTGCTTAGCTTATTTTATCAACATACAGAATATTTTAGTCAGGCTGCAAATGCTGAGGAAGATAAGATCCATGTCCTTTTGTCCCAAGTCCTTGGTGAGAAGTAGCACAGCACTACTCTATATTGTATAGAAATAATGATGTTTGTTAGAAAAGGTGTTGTGGTTTTTTTTTATTTTATTTCTATGGTAAATGTTAAATGCAATAATTGGGAGGAAGATCTGAGTGGTATGGACCATTTGTAAAAATACAGGAGGATGGTTGTGGCAATATGTGAAAACATTTATAGTCTGTGTCCCAGTCATGCAAAATACTGGTCTTCCTTAGCTCCTGTAAAGTCCAGTAAAATTGAATGGTAAAGTACAGTGACTGCCGGGTTGTCAACAGTGGTGTACCTGGGCAGTGCTCAGTGTCTGGCTGGTGGCCAGTGATGAGCAGAGAACCCCTGGGGCCTGTACTGGCACCCACACTGTCCAACACCTTCATCTGCCATCTGGATGTTGACACAGCATCCTTAACAACTTGGAACATGAGGCTTAATTGAGGGGCGTGGCTTCCATAACAAATGGCAGAGTTTTGTTTCAGACAGATTTTGATAAGCTTGGAGATTGTGCCAACATATATCTTAGGAATTTTAACAAGGAGAACTGCAACACTGTGCTCAGGGCAGAATATTCCTGTGAAATAGTATGAATGGGGAAAAGGAATTGACTGAGGAGCTCTGTTTCTGAAGAGGACATGGGAGTTACAGCAAATGCCAGGGTGATTGTGAGCCGGCAGCACGCTCTGGCAAACAAGGCAAACAGCATGATGGGTGACATCAGCAGCAGCATGGCCAGCAGGCTGAGGGAAGTTGTTATGCCCTTCAGGTGCTGGTGAAAGCTGTGCTAGGAATACCATGCCCTTGTTGGGGCTCCCTGATCCAAGAAAGCCATGAGGAAACTGGAGAGGATCTAGTAAAGATCTGTCAGAATAGTTATGGTAGTTATCAGGTGTGACCTCTGAGTTCATATGGCAGGGGCTGTAATTTGTGGCTTTGGAGATTCAGCTTGGATGTGGGGAAAGGAATTTTTACTGGTAGGGTAGTGCAGCAGTAGCACAGGACTCCCGGGAGGTGCTGGAATACACATCCTTTGAGGTTTTCCACACTTAGCTAGGAAGAGCCACATCTGGCGTGCTCAGAGTGGGTGGTAGTCTTGCTATTCAGGCAGGTGGTTGAATGAGGTGATTGGCAGAGCCCTTTCCAACGATTTCAGTGGCTCTGCAATAATAACTAGCTTTGTCAATAAATAATTGTGAGATTATAGTTTAGGCTGGGAAAGACTGGAATATTACATGAATGCGTGTGTGCATGCTTACCTTGGGAATACATAATTCTTCTCACTTCTAGGTATCAGCTTGAATTAAAAGAAGAGTACATAGCCAGAAGCAATAAAGTTACAGAAGATGAGAAAAAAAATAAAGGTAACCATCTCTCTGAGATGGATAAAGTAGCTGTTTATCTCTAGAACACTTACTAGTGGGTAACAAAGCGCTGTTGTTACAAAATGGTCGTGGTGTTCATTAACAGTGGTGTAAGTGACAGAAAAGCCATCAAAATCGATTTTTTTAAGAACATAGCAGGAGACCAGCAACTCCTTTCTGTTCCGAATGTGGCAGGAACTGTGAGAGCCTGATCTGCACAGAGGCTACAAAGCATTTTGCTTTTTCAGTTTCCTGTCTCCTCCTGAGGTCCTACCAGCTCTTTCATTCTCTAATTTAACTCTGGTACCATACTCTTAACTAGTTGCCAGTTTCTGCATTGATTGTGCACAAGATGTTTAATTGGAGCTGGAGGAAGAGAACTGGGACAGATAACATGTTTGGACATTTAGGGTAGGGACATGTGAAAGAGATTATGTATTATGTGCATGTGAACGTGATTTTCTTAATTCTAAAGGAGTATTTGTACACTATGTATATACACAGTGTGATTTAGTTAATTTTGAAGGAGTTTGACATTCAGTCATATTAGTCTTAGTCAAGTCTTGAATTAAATTGAATGTTTGGCTTAGCAGCCTCAACTGTTTCTTGCTGATACAGTTTTTTTATTGTAATACTCTGCTAATCTAATTCAGCATTTGTAATCCTCCCTGCAGAGAAAGCTATGCTTTTGCATGAAGAAGCTATGGCTGTTAATTCAAAAAAGGAGGAACTCAAGCAAGCTATATCACGCACGAAAGAGCTTGAGGTAATTGTAAGCATGAATTTAAAGAAGCTGTATTCTACTTAGTGTGTCTGAGATACAGTTAATTGTTTTTATTTCACTTTTTTTTTTTTTTTTTTAAGTGGTGCAACAGTTCATAAGCTTCTAAACTGTTCTTTGTTTGCAGCTGGATTTGGAGTCAGTGAAGGCCCAGGTTCTGTTGGTAAATAAACAGAATCAGTTGTTGACAGAAAAACTGAAAGAGGTATCAGACTATCCTTTGCTAAAGGAGGAGAAATTGGAGCTCCAAGTGCAGAATAAGCTACTTAGGCAACAGTTGGATGAGACTCGCAGTGAGAACCAGCATCTTCGAGACAGTCAGTCTGAATGATTTAGTGATTTTTTTGTTTATTTTT